CGTTTACGTTTTACTTTAAAATTCTTAAAACTTCCGAAGCTAGCTAACCCACTACTTCTTTTATTATGTAGTTACTCTTTTTAAATAGTGTTTTTTTATACTATTGCTCAGAGAAAGTTGCTAACCTTCTTTAAAATAGTTTTTCAGTTAACTGTCTTCTTCAACAGACAAGAAATAGCTCAAAACTTTTTTGAATAATTTATCGGTTCCAGAAATTTGTTCTAACGGAATACCTAGACTTGTTTATTGTTGGTTACAATGCGTATATTCTATTAATTCTGACTACACCTAATAAATGTCCTTAAAACTAAGAGACGCTGTAATATATTGCGTTTAATTTTATTTACAAAAATATAATTACTTTGCTATGACGTATAGAAGTAGATTAATATTTTTACAATGATGTTTAATTTTGTACGTCTCTGTCAATTTTCCTTTTCTAAGGAACTATATGCATAAGAATGCGCCTGTAATTCTCTGTAATAAAAATCATCTTTCCGAACTCTGATATTCCACACATCTATGTAAGTAAAAATATTGTATTGTCTACGAACAGAAAAACGATTTTTTGGCATAAGAACAACAAATGTTTCTGCTTCAACCAAACTGAGACCTTCAAATGTTGCCAAGTTGGTTCAGAAATATCTAAAATGTCAGCTGTATGTAAACTCTTTTTCAGTTCAGTGCTTAAAAATGGCTTCCGGTGAATGAAGCTTTCATTTTTTAGCGAGAACAATCTTTCTTCGAGCCTTGTGAATTACAAGCAGAAAACTGTACCAAATAATAGAAACCATATCACTTGAGATTTCTCAAGAGTAGTAAAAACTAAAAATGATGGCACCTGAAAACCAAAGAGTTAATAATGACATAATCAAGATGTTGCCGCTTCACACTATTTCAAGCAAAATGTTAGGAAGAAAGACTTGAGAAACCAATTTTTCTGAAAAAATTATTTAATGAAATGATTTTATAAATTTCAGTCGTAAATAGATATGTCTGCTTAGTCAATGAATATCGAATTTTTCCTTATAAGGAAATGGTTAATAACCCCATTACTGTTCTATTCTCTGGGAAAAAAGTTAAATAAAAGTTTTAAAATAGAGATTACTTTTCGCTATTATAAGAAGAAATCTGCTAGATGACCACAATATTATTCTATATATTCTTCTACACTTCTATATAAACAAATATAAATGCCAAATGTATTCTCTTTATCTAGCTATCTATAGATGTACTCACTAATTTATTCAATATTTGCCTAATCTCTTGTTTGAAGGAAACAGTTTCTTTTGAAAATATCAGGAGAAAAACAAACTAATCAGTGATAATCTAGTCAGGATAGAAAGAAAATTGAAAAAAAATAAGACAAGTTGATTCCGCCATTTTCATTCCCGGTGCCCATAGACGTACAACCGCAATAAATACACGACATCGTCATGCTGACGCCTCGCTGAGAAGACGATACGGGCAAAAGAATCAGCTGAAAATTTCGAACAGAATCAATATTGACATCAACATGCAGACTAACGAGGAAAAGGCGTGACATTCCACCACAATATGTCTGGGAACATCAGAATGGAATCTTTGGCTGCTGCAGTATTTTTGACTTTTGATCAGAACCAAGTACAGACAACCTGCTATTGTATTTATTATTGTATTTTTGCTATTGTATGTTTTTGGTTTAATATATAGTATGAATTGTCTGGGAAAATATCACAACAGATCATCAATTACTCTGCTTGAACTTACAAACAGTAAATAACCTCTTAACGGTCGATCTACAGTAGAAACGTATAAATGGCACATCTATCGTTAAAGGTGCGTATTGATAGCGTTTACATTAGTAGAATATATTTTATTTGTTTTTCAAACTAAGTGGTTTTCTCTGTCTTCCTTCATATTATGTCTTACATCCCTATGCGTGGTAGAGAGATCTAGAGATAGCATAAATCATAGAAAGTTTAAATGATTAACTGCAACAGGATAGTGATAGAGTTAATTAGTAGTTGTGAGTGAAGGCCCCATATTAGTGTCTGTGTGCAAAAAGAAAATTATGATTAGTAAATAACATAGCCACTTCATCCTCGTGTAATGTTAAGTAAACTGGACATGTAGATTTTAAGTAATGAGTTGCATCCCTACCAGATGACCCATACTTATGTCTTTGATATAAGACTATGATACATTCAATAAATGATTGAATGGCATCCCACACCAATGAAGCGAGATGGGAAAAACTATTTCAATAAATCGGAGAGGTTTAAGGCGTATTTAATAACACATTACAAAGATTCCAATCGTCGCTAGCATATGATTATTAAATGTCATAGGTCACTTGGTTCATGGCATTGGTCGATATAGTAATCACGAATCCTTTGAAAAACTACTAATATATAGGGTGTTCCAATAACTTGAACGGATTTTAAATGTGAATTAAGTTTAAGCGTTGATTAAAAATAGGTCACAGTTTGGTGTGCATTTTTTGTTATTGGAATCATTGGGCCGTATATTTATAAATTTGAACGTTCATTTTCGAAATAGGCTTAGATAACATTAACACGTTGTTTGATTGTTAATCTTTCTATGATTGCAATTGCCAAAGACTTAAGTTGTTAAATCTGTAAGAAAAAGAAAAAAATAATTAGACGCTTAAACTTTATTCCCATTTAAAATCGGTCCAAGTTATTGGAACACTCTGCATATGTGAATAAAATGCATTGGAAAAACACGAAAATACTTGAACACCGAATAATGTCCACCTAAAGAGATTTGACTTTATAGAAGGATGCTGAGAATAGCATAGACAGAACATGTAAGCAAAGAGGAAGTTTTTTTTTTAAAATTCCAACAAAAATGACACTTGTATTTAGAAACAAAGAAGGACATTTATATTTCTAGCATATATTATGAAGAGAGAATTGGTGAATTTGATTCTCTCATGACATAGTGAAAGCAAAAGTGAGTAATTGCTCTGACGAGCTTGGATCGCTGAATAAGGACTTGAAGGGATATTAAAGAGACTGATATTGCTTACAAATGCAAAAGATAGAAAGCTGTAGAGAGACATGAACCCCATTTCTTGTAGAAAGAAGACATAAAATAGAAGGATTTTTAATTGAAATCATATTTTCAGCTTCTCAGTAATCGTTTTATTATTCGTGTTTTTTTTTCTTAGTCAAATTAAATTGAATTCATATTAAATATTTTGAAGGAAAGATTAAAATCTTTTTGAAGATTCTCTAGAAAAAAAATAAGTACTACTTAAATAATATAACATTTGGTGCTGATATTTTAAACCTTTCGATGTTTTGCCATCATACTTATTTTAATTTGCAATCAATGAAACCGATTGGCAATTGAGTTTTTATTGCTCTCATCTGAATAAAAAAGAACATTTGTATTTCTTTACTATGAAATTAATCTCAAAATTTAAAATAAAATAAATAATAATCAAAATATAGTAAACAATAACAAGAAATAACCAGAATTGCGAGGGAAAAAAATCTCAAAAACGAAAATATTCTGAACAAAATCTGCTGATTACATTTAAGGAAAACATCTGCTTGCCGCTGTTGTTACAGACAATCTAATAATGTGGAAAACGAGTGAAAGACATTTCTTGTAATCTTTTAAAGAATGATCACATAATCAGCAATGTTTATTAGCAACTAGAAAAAATGGTGACACTATTTTCTTTATTACTCAACGAATACTAATACTGCTGCATTCATTTTTCTACTTTTTAGAGAATACTGGTAAAATATAACCTCGTAGAACTAATGTAACTTGGGCAATTTTATGGGATACATTACATACGATATCACCCCGATATTTGCGAATTTGGTACAAGTCTAAGGGATTCAAATTAGTTCCAAATCAAACCCCAATATACCAATTATATCCATTTAACTAAAGTAATCAATTCCTCGCATTCAGTCCAGAATTACAGAATAACATATTGGGGTTTTGGTATTGGCAATTAGAAACTTAAAATTCTGTATATATTGTAAGTGAATGGTCTCATATCAACTTCCAATAATTCTTGATCAAACCTTATTTACAATAAATATTTAAATATTGAAAGAGACTATTTCCTTTTGAATAATCATTTTTAGCTTTTCCAATCGTTTCATATCATTTTTTATTATTTTAGAATGGGTTAGGTTTTTTTTTCGTTTTAAGTGCATTTTCCTTTATTCTTAATGTAAGCATTTATTAATGTGAAATTCTGAGCAAATCATTTTTCTGTATATTAATGTCTTTTGTATGAATATAAATTTTGAGCAGACTAAAAAGAATTCACACCTACTATAGTGTGCACTCAAATATGCAGGCGTATTTAATCAGGTAATCTGCAATAATGCATTATTAGAATATATATACCTACTGTAATATTTATGTATAATTAAAAGACGATTATCATGTTAAGACCCTAATTATTTTAGCAATTACTACAGTGGATATGTTTCGGGTAAGTTAGCCATACGAAACGATAGTTTTGAAGTCAGAATTTTGTTCTCGTGTGCTGGCTGGCTTACCAATGTTAAAGAACCTAATCAACAATAGTATTTAAATTGTCTTGAAGAGTGTTCCTTGGCCTGAACTGAATGTTAAACCATTATACTTGTACACCGAGTAAATTTGAATATAATTTTTCGGAAATCAATATCATAAATTTGGAGATGAATATTAATATACTGAATATATATTACTTTTTGTAAGGAATATATTTCATTGATTGATTGATTGGTTTTCCCCGGCTTATCAACCCTTTGCAGGTTATTTAAAGTCAGATTTTTTCTTTTGTAAGATTTATTTTTTAGCGATACAAGTCATATTAATTAATCCATAGGGTTAGAGAGAAGAAGTGAATTCATACCTTTCCATATGGCATTTGTGCGTAACTGAATACAACAATCCAAACTGGAATTGGAACTCGGCTCTCCGATTACAAATTCCAAGTCCTTATCCATTACATCACCCGCACAACCAAACTTACACGACTTGGTATTCCAAAGCGGTCAACCACCTAAGTACTGACCAGACTCGATATTGCTTAACTTCGGTGATCTTACGGTAACCGGTGTTTCACCGTGATATGGTTGTAAGCCTAAAAAAATTCTAGATCTAGAACGTCGAGAAACATTCGCGAGTTTGTAGAAATTAATTTCGATAAAACTTGCTGAATCTTCACTAAGTCGAACAGAATAAATAAATATATAATATTTTGTCATAAATGATCAAATCAATTTTCAAAACATAATCATCATTATTGATAATGTCAAAAACACTACCTTATTTTTTTCGTATCAAGTATTCTGGATTGATTGTGCCCAGTGGCAGACTGGCCAAGAATTTCAATTTGCCCGATGTTAACTGGACCCCTGATGGAGTGTGCCTTTATATCAAATAAAAATGCAATAAGAAACAAACTGTTTTAGTGATAAAAATGAATAAGGCTTTCACGAATACACCTATACAGTATCAGTTACTCGTTCAATGTGAGAGAACATTTTAAAAGTTAAAGAGTATAAAGACAGGATTAAGAAATACACAGTCCGACGTGAAATTTGGAATCATATATGTTGATAGCCATTGAAAAGAAATCGTTAGATGAACTGAATGAAGAAGCAATTATCCGAACAGTTATCTGATGAACACAGATGATTCTGCTTAATATATCGGCCTGCATACAATTCTCTATATTGCTATGGAACTATCTGCTAATATTTAAAGTGTGCACTAAACTATTTAAAAATATCAAACAATTACTTAAAATAAAAATATAAGAATACAAATTAAATTATATCATTCTATATTTACATTTTATATCTACTACTAATGATATGTAAACTTTAATTACTAAGAAAAACATATTTTCCCATTTTTCTTATATGTATATTCTATTTTACTTACTCGTTATGAAAATTAAATGATAGCATTGTAGTTATATGTGAGCCCTCGTTATCTCCAGGCACTGAATATTTTTGACCCAGTACGTCACTGATTGTATTTTATTAATTACATTCATAGAATATCAATACTACATGCGGTAAAACCCACCAACGTAATTATTAAATTGTTTAAATCGATTTTGATTAAGAATTACATTGTCACTTTAAAGAATTATACACGCTGCGTTAAACAAAGCACAGCGTATTTGGATTAACACCTTTTTCTTCACGAAAATATATATTTACTGTCATTTTCATGCTTTCTTCTGACAAAATCTGAACTGAAATGAAGAACCTGTCAATAGTCCGGAAATCTGCTCTCCGGGATAAAATTAAACGAAATATTTTCCAAGCAATAGACATATCAGACTTCCTGTCAGATAGCAATGCATGGACATTGGGAAGACGATTGGTAAAGAAGCTAGATAGTTTGTATGAAACGATGCCACATATTGCACTGGATATATTATGGAAAAGGATTCTATAAAAAGAAACTGGTCCGTTAAAACCTCCCTTGAATCTCACAAGTCAGTCACGAGAGATGTAAGAGTATTATGGTGCATTCCTGAAGAGAAATGAGCCTCCCAGCAACTTTTTTGCTGTGGACATCACAACGTTGACATACTAGCATTGGTTACCCATTAAAAAATATATTCAACAAATAAAGGGTGCTTAAATAAGACGGATCTTAGCAGTAAATAAATGAATGTTATTGATGAAAATTTATTTATTTCTTTATTGGAACATGTTATTTAAGTTATGGCAATTGTGTGTGTGACACCATTTAGGGTTGCGTGAAAAAAAAGAAAAAAAAAGGCGAGAATTAAATTAGGTGATAAGAATCTATCACGAAAAGACGATGTTATTTTTTTTCTAAAGAAGGAAAAGTGGTAAAAATTTTATTTTCATTAGCGAAGAAAGTAAGGTCGCGGTTCTGCCGGTTTAATTTGATTTATGACGACGCACCGAATAAGATACAGCCATCTGCCCATGGCAGTAAGGAAAATTTCAGGTTGGTCAAGTGGCCTACGAAACAGAAACTGAGAGATAAAAATTAATTCGGTCGCAAGGAAAATGTCCTTTGGACCACCCACATGTTAGAGAGAAAGATAGATTAAACCATTAACTATCGTCGGAGATAACATTGGTTTGATATGTTTTATTTTCCAAACCTGGACATGATAAAAATTATTTTATCGGAACAGATAATTGGCGAAAATCTCGTTGATGAAGTTCGGAGACCATCCTAAGAGTCGTGGGAGGTCTCCTCGAAGAAAAGAAGGAAAAGAAAAAAAAAAAAGGAAGATATTTTTTTTTCTTTGGGAGATAATTTTGAACGGAGGCCAGTCCGGCCACACCTACGCTGCTGAGCGCTCATTGGCTGAATGGTGGCGTGAGCGGTAGGTGAAGGTAATCATGTGAAGAAGGAGGGAAGCCTGTTGACGCCCTCTGAAGCGATCGGTGTGAGATGCCACCGTAAGAGAGAGAGGAAACCTGTTGACGCCCCTGAAATGGTGGATTTTTCTGACCAAAAACAAAGAAAATTCTTAATGCGGATTTAGAATTATCAAGGAAACTCATACCCCGACAGGCCCACCCCGGTTTTGGTCGGCGCCCATATAAGCAGAGTCGCAACGAGTAGAAGGCAGTTCGCAGCTGAGCAGTTGGGTGTTAGACAGACAGGCAATCAGTTGCAGTTGAGCTGAGAGCTCTGAGGACCCGCCTCGCAGGAACCTGACTGAAAGATTCCACGCAATCACGACCTCAACTTCTAACCAAGAACAATTTATTTTTGAAGAACGACTTAGACTCACACCACTAAAACAAGTTTTACGAATATCGCCTAAAGATACACCAAGAACCAGTTTCTTAAAGAACAAACAACTTAAGATGTTAAGACTCACCTATAAACACAGTGTCACGATCCATATTACCGGTTTCGGAGAAAGACTTAGTCCTGTATTCAGCAACCAGATATAAAATATTGTTATCCTTTTTTAACACATTTGAACTTTTCGAGTTATTACTTTATTTTCTTTTACATATACTTGTGCGGTATTGCCCTTGTCCGGGCTCAGCTTGCATTACGGCCCGGCGACTGATTGATTTCGTCTACCTAAGATCAAATCACAACGTGGATGGGTTAGTCTAGAAATCAAAACAGTTACTTCGGTAACCAGACATTGGAGGCCAGCTGGGAGCGACAAGGCTGATGCCGAAACTAACCAGATTCCCATCCGTATCAGCAAAAGGTTAGAACGTTACAGTGTGAAAAATCCTATCGCCCAAATAACCAAAAAATCTGAAAGAAAAAGAAAGACATTAAACGCTTAAACTTAATTCACATTAAAATCGGTTCAAGTTATTGGAACAGCCTTTATATAAAATCACAGAATGCTAAGTGAAGAACCCCCAAGACAGGAAAGAAAGACTGATGATGATGATGATAATCATAAGATCTTGGACTTGACATTATTTGCCATATTCAATCAACTACTCATCAAAATTTTACAGATGAATAATTTCCATTTATATATCGACATAATTTGTGAGTACAATAACACATTATGAAATAAAATTTAATTTAATTTTGTATCCTGTAATTGCTAAAAATAATTATATTATTGATAAATAATCTTTTATCATGAAATAAGATTTAGTGTCATATTGGAATTTCGTTACTGGTCATGAGAATGTTCTTGAAAAATATGTTGAAATTTGGTACACTCCAACTGGTTTATATGCATTTTCTAGAAATAGATTTCTGAATAAGCCTTGTATTTTGACCATTTCCTGTATATAATTGTACAGTAATTTATGATAGAAATCTTGTAGACGATAAGGAAGGTTAACTATTGAGTTCATACTTTTACGTAAAATACTTTTGCTCTTAGGTTCTTATCTCTGAGTCACGTTATCGCAGCCACCACGCAAATTGTTATTGATGTGACTGATGTATTTCGTTGCCAGGCATTTTGCATCTGTAGGTACGAAACACGTCATACCTACCACAATAGTTTGTTTATTTATGCACATATTTTAACAATATCCTTCAGCATGATTCATGCTATTTTACCTCAGCTAAGCAACAATAAGTTCAACAGAGCGCATTCCTTTTTTAATCATAATGATGTTCATGAAATCTGGTTTTCTGGCCAGTAAGAATAATTTTACAATCGACCTTCTCGTTTCAATTACACCAATCATTTTTTGAAGCGATTCTTTTATCGACTAAAAATGTCGCCAAAGAATGAATAATTCTCTCGTCTTAAATACGACGCCTCCTGGCATACATCGCCATGCTGATATTACGGTTCTGAGGGAGATAACGTTAGAATATGAAAATTTGGATCACTACCTAAAGAATCAATAGCTGATCAGATGACGTATAAGAGCAACAATTTGTATAGATATCAGCGTCTTTACAAGTCAAGCCATACTATAATCCTCGAGTTTTACTTCAGCTCACGTGTATTTGAACAAAGAAATCATCTTTATCAATCCATTGGCGGTTATAAAATCAAAATGGCCGACACGATAAGAATTTAAATACGTTTCACTATTACTTCTGACGATAAAATGACTTGTTGAGGAACTTTAGAGACAGGAAACACTTTTGGTTTCGATTTCGAAATAAAGCGAGTTATATTTAACATTGCTATACGGAATTAGTTTGCAGAGAAAGCGGAATTCGTTGCAGACAATTACCTCAGGGTCGACTACATCAAAAGACTCTTTTTCCATCGGTCGCTTTGTATTCCTTTGTGTCACAATGCAATCTGATGTCGCGTATGTGGCTTTGTATCCTGCTGTTATTTTTCCATCTCTATTAGAACTTACTGAGGTGACATTTCTTTTCCAGTCATAATTTAAGTTCAACTTCAACAAAATGACCTTAAGATCCCTTACGTATTTTGCATTTTTAATAAACACGGGTTTCTATTTGGCTAGAGCTTGGATTTTTAAAAAGTTAAATCTGTTCCTTTTCAGATATTTATTAAGCATAGCATTATAAAGAAAGAAGAATACGTTACGCCAATCTTATGAATTAGTCCGCTTTAATTGAAAAACATTTCTTCCAATTCTTCCAGTTTCGACATTGATTTACTACTTAAATGAAGACGGGAAGGTGTGTCACTATATCTGCTGATCTT